TGGAGTTGTTCAACCGGTCCTAAATATTATCAAGTGAAATTATATAGACGCAGTCACCAGCGGATTTAGGGGGTCCCCTTAAGTATTCGACCTCCTTTTACTATTTTAAGATTTCCATTTTTGGTGACGGACCCTAAAATTTTTCTAAAATATATACTAATTTTGAGGGGGGAGCGCGCTGAAAAAACGCAACTTTTTGTTCGAAATTTGCCTAAACATGCCTTTTTGGCCTGTTTTTTCAAAAATTTGCCTCCTGCGCAGTACCCTTAAAGATTCCAATGACAGGATTGATATCTTCAAAGTTTTGGAACCTTTGAACATTTAACTTTTTTTTGAAACGTTCGGAGAAAATCATAAAAAATGTCATATCTCGAAAACAATAAGGATTTGAGCAGTCATATTGGGAGGCAAAATTCGCAACTCCTGATAGTACCCTGATAGAGCCTCACTACAGAGATGAGAATTTCAAGTTTTGCGAAACTTTTTATATTTAAGTTTTCTGAAAAAATCTTAAAAAACGTCATATCTCGAAAACTACAAGAATTGGAGCAGTCCCCTGAGAGTACCCTGACAGAGCCTCACAACAGAGATGGTAATTTCAAGTTTTTGTGAAATTTTTTATCTAAGTTTTCTGAAAAAATTAAAAAAAAAAAACGTTATATCTCGAAAACTACAAGGATTTGAGCAGCCAAAATCAAAGGCAAGATTCGCAACCCCTGAGAGTACCTTCACAATATCCAACAACAGGATTGAGATGTGCAACATTTTGGAACTTTTTAAAATCCAAGTTTTTGAAAATGTTTTGAAAAAATCATAAAAACCTCATATCTCGAAAACTACAAAGATTTGAGAAGTAAGAATTGGAGGCAAGATTCGCAACCACTGGAGTACCCTGACAGTACCCAACTACAGGGTTAGAATTTCAAAAATTGAGAAACTTTTAAAAATTAATTTTCATGAAATTTTTTGAAAAACCTCGAAAATTGCTTATCTCGTAAACAATGTATTTCGTTATTCATATATAGAGGCCAGAATCGCAAAACCTGAGAAAACTCTGACAATATCCTACTATTGGGTTGCTAATTTCAAACTTGATGGAAAAAGCCGGAATTTAAAGTGGAAAATTGAAAAAAAAACCTTAGCCATTGCAATATACGATATATCTTAAACGTGAAAAAATTCATTTCTTAAGCATGCAAAAATAATACGTTGAAAAAGCTTGGCGAGATAGTGAAGCCCGCATTTAAATATAGAATAGATAATAGATAAAAAGAAAAAATTTAAAATTAGGCGACGGGTAGACAGACATAATCAAATTAATTTAAAAAGCAGGTATACAGACAGACAGACTTAATTTGGCCTCGAAAAAAAGTAGTGAAAAATTAATGACCTTATTGCGAAAAATTAATTGAAAAATTTTCTTAAGCATTGCAATATATGATATAGCTTAAACATGAAAAAATTCTTTCGCTTAACATGCAAAATTATTATGCTTAAACATGGGAGATAGCTGTCACTCGCATTTAAATATAGTATAGATAGATATAGATAGTTAGATAGATAGATGACAATGTCAAATGAAAGATCCTTTAGCAGTGATCCTCTAGAAGTGAAGATCCTGTGGACAAAAATGTTTACGGGAAAAAATTCGAGTACCCGATTGCAATACCCTTGCTTATCGCAAGGGTAGAAAAAACACTCAAGAAAACACAACTTAATAAAAAAAATACAAAATGTTGTTGGGAATCATTTTCTTTTTGCGGAAAACACGTCCCGAAACACAATCGACCGCAATTAATGAAAATTCGATAAAAAATTAACAAGCGGCAAATGAGCCGACGAAACCTAAATAATTTCCAGTAGAACCGAAAATTTATTTGTGGACATGAAAAACTTTGAACTATAATTTCTATTCTAAGAATTTTAACATATTGTCCGATGTGCAAAAAAAAACTAAAACAGCAAAATATACAAAGTCAATGCTAGTAAAATTTAAAACTGCAGGAGTAATTTAAAACACTAAAAACAACTACATTGAAAACAGCGTACAAAAAAATCTATTCTACGATGTGGCAATTAAGCCAAAACATAAGCAGACAAACTAAAGGCCGACAATTTTTTGGAAAGGAATATTCCCAGTTTGAAAAAAAAACAGTTCCAGGTCAGATTCGAATCCACGGCCTTTACCGTCCCAGGCGTTTAGAAGTTTGAATTCAGTATGCACCAAGATAATAGTGGGTTTAGTGATTCTGTTAAACAAGTTCCCGTTCGATAACGCTTGCCAATCGCAAATGTAAACAACAATTTATTTCTCAAAAAAGTTTCAATTTAGGAGATTAACTTAGAAATGCCATAAAAAATTTGAAAAATTCTTTTTTGAAAATATTGCTTTCGGATAGCCAAAAGATGGAGGTGATAAGACAAAAAACAGAAGTGTCGCTCACAAAATTGTCGTCCCAAAATTACAAAATTTAGCAGAAAACGTTGCAAGAATCCTTGGAACTAAAACAATTGCAAACCCTTCCAGATAACTGCTTCTTCATCGTTTTGAGAATGTGAAAAAGAAGAAAAAAGACAGAAAAGAGTATGAACTCATGGAAACGGAAGAAAAACTCTCTGGGAAATCTGAATTAAATTCCATTTCCAAAATTAGAAGCCGATCACTTTTTCGTGTCCTTTACAATTATGCTGTTCGATATTGGAGTTTGCCTTCCTTTTACCATAGGAAATGAAGTGAATTAAAAAAAATGATAATATGTCAAACCGCGAAAAAGTGAATTTGAGCCTGGACAAATTTTACTTTTCCCGAAAAAAAAACGAAATAATAATCATCTCAACCTATGTAAGATTACTCACTGCGTTCATTACTCTTATAAACTTGAATCAATAACTTTTATATAATTTACACAATACAAAACATAGCCAAATGACTGTAGGAAAAGAGTAAAGAACTCAAGGAAACTGAAACAAAAACTGACTTGTTTTTTTTTTTAATTTTTAACTATTGAATTTCGAAGAAAAAACTAGATGGCCTTAAAGCTCTTTGAATTTCTAGAACAATTTAAGATGGACATTTTCTGTTAAAATTAACCCAATTTGAGAAAACTGGATCAATAGGCAAAACTTTTATTCCACAGGGATATCTGATAATTAATTTCCATTTTCGAAATTAGAAATCGATCACATTTTTCGCGACCTTTACACTTTTGCTGTTCGATAGTGGAGTTTGCCTTACTTTTAATAAAGGAAATGCTCTGAACTTAAGTTTGAATTCTCTGAAAAAAAAATTTAAGGACTTTTTCTTAAAAAAAATATAAGCAAAAAAAATCAGCAAGACCTATATAAGAGTCCTGACTACAATCGTTACTCTTAATCAGAAAAAAAAAATCATGAAATACACCAAATTAAATCATAATTAACATATAAGGCGAGAACATTTGAAAACATGAAAAAAAAAATCCAGAAACTTTGGGATTTATTTGCAAACCTGCAGCATATTTTCAAACACCCGATATTGTTCAAATCCTGACAGCTCTAAACTAAATCCGAAAATCTACGACCCGTTGCAGTGAACAAAAAGCTACGGCCATTCTATGAACGAAGTTCTTGACGGGGGAAAAACTAATAATTATCTCAACAGTAAAAACAATTGTTTGTTGCAAGCGTAGCATAAGTTTAGCATTGCAAGCTAGCGAATAGAAAATGAAACGGAAAATGAGACTTGCAATACACTGAGAAGCCACTAAGCCAGCAATATTGGCTGAGCTGCCACTAGGCCAAAAATACGTTGGTAGGCACCCATTGAGCGGGAAAAAATTACAGGAGTAAACCAACAGCACTTGAAAAAGGCTTACAGGTGAAAAAAATCAGTGATTAGGAAACTAAACCGAATAAAGACGAGCAGACATCCCTTTTTGAAATCTCATCTGAATCTCCAAAAAAATTCTGTGAAGGTAAATCAAATTTTCCGTAAGAAAATTTTAAAAGAAAACCAGCATGAATTCATCAATTGTGTCGTATTGAAACGATTTCATTCGTGATTGAATTGCAAAACATATTTCCAAAAATCTGTCACAACACCTGCAAAAATGTTGTGCTAATTTAGCAAAGAGTCGTAAATTAAATTTAAAAAGCCGATGAAATTTCGTCTTCATTTTACAATGTAATGAGTTCATAAAAATATTGAAAAATCATATTACTATCTGAGAGCAATAAAATCACCTTGAGCAAAAAAAGGATTGAAGCAATCTACTTAGTTACACAGCAGCTGCGCACCTATATTGCTTGAATATAATTGAAAAAATAAAATTGAATACAAAAAATATGAAAAAATTATCTGAGAAAAAAAACAAGTGACCATTGTGACTAGAATCTTGCGTGAAGTCTAAAGGCTAAAAGAAGTCTTGTTCTTTTTCTCAACTTTTTCGAGCAAAACACTGGAATCTGCTTTGCTGAAAAACAAACCAATTGCTCCAGTTATTAAACAAGTGACTTCATCTCTCCTAAACTTGAACACTCGAAATGGAGTTGTTCAACCGGTCCTAAATATTATCAAGTGAAATTATATAGACGCAGTCACCAGCGGATTTAGGGGGTCCCCTTAAGTATTCGACCTCCTTTTACTATTTTAAGATTTCCATTTTTGGTGACGGACCCTAAAATTTTTCTAAAATATATACTAATTTTGAGGGGGGAGCGCGCTGAAAAAACGCAACTTTTTGTTCGAAATTTGCCTAAACATGCCTTTTTGGCCTGTTTTTTCAAAATTTTGCCTCCTGCGCAGAAAATTTGGTCAAAATGGGGTCATTATAGTGATTTAGGAGCGCTCAAAAATCAATTTGGTCGACTTTAACAAAAAGGTCGATAAAAATTTCGAAATCTTTTGAAAATCCGCCCCCCCCCCTTGAGAAAATCCTAGATACGCCCATGGACACAGTTGAATTAAGCGGATTCGGTTAACGGTTTAACCATCCACGTGTTTTTTATGGGTACTAACATACCTGCTGATTGAGTGGTACTGGCTGTTGTTTGTCTACTGCCAACACTACTCTGCGTGTGGGGGGTTATAACGGCAGTCGGTGCTTTATAGCCGGCGACAGCTGCGGCATTCATCTGTTGTTGAAAGGTAGCCATGTACGCCGCATAACTCTGCGGGTTAGCCGCCGCTGCTGCCATCATAGACGCCGCGTTAAACGCCTGATACGGGTTGTAAACCCCGGCAACGGTAGGATTTAAACTAAACCCCGGAACACCCGCGGCTGCAGCGAAAGGGGAAACCATAGATGCTTGAGGGGATTGTTGCTGGCTAGCGCCAGGCATCAAGCCAGCTGCAGTCATATTGTTTGTTGTTGCGGGCGTCCCGGTAGTTCCTGGAACACCAGGGAACGCGCCGCCCATGAAAAAATTCATTTTCACAAATTTCTTGACCTTCTTTTTCAGCTTAAGATTTAGAAGTCTTCCAAACAGCTAGAGCTTAAAAAATTAACAATATCAGATAGAGAAATTATTTGAAATTAAATTTTGGAAAATAACAGAAATTACCAACTTCTAGAAAGCTGACAAAGTCAAATTTGTGACAGAATTAAGACGCTATTCTTTCTTTTATGATCAAGGTAAGGATTTTGCTGAAGTCTGAATACCCAATATCGATGAATGAGTTCAAATAGCGTCAGATTATCAAATAAATTTTGGATAGCACTGAAGGATCGTTTGTTAAAGGAAGTCAGATTTCATCTGAAAAATAGGATTTCGAGTTACCAGGCAAAACAATTATGCACACTTCGTGTGTCAAAAATCAGGTTCAATTAACAGAAAGTTAAAGAACTCAAGTTTTGCCCGAGACATTTCGCCGCCTTATCTTCTTCGACAGTCGAAGGGAATCCTTCAAAATATTTGGAATGTTAGGTGTGCGTAGGTCCTTCGAAGACTTGGACATTGGATACCCTGATACACGAGATCTCGATCAGAACTTCGTTTTATATCATTTAACGTTTAATTTTGCTGGCTAATGAAGTTTTGATATCAAGATCTGATTATTACCAATTTGGGCAGTTAAATTAGAATCGACCTACTAACAGACAAACTGTCAAACCAATCCTTCTACGTGTTAAGCTCTCACTATTAGATATCTCACTACTCATGAGCTTGTCTGTTAACCTATTTGACTGAAATTTATTCAGCAAATGCTAATGAATTGATCATTTACTAGAGGGTGGCTTAAAAAACAGGCACTCTTACTGTATAGCAAATTAACATCACAATTTAGAGCATGGGAAATTCTCTTAATCAGAAAATAAGAGATTTAGTTCTCGGAAAATTTCTCCTCAAATTTCCAAAAAAAAATCAGACGGCTATACAGCATGGACGACCTCTTTAAGTGTTAATTTCATTTTTCCTGCCCAATAACTAAGTAATCAATACACCTGAAAACTATCATCATATAAATCTGTGACATTATTGTACATTTAAGCGCACACAGACGTCAAATAAGCACCCTAGAAACGGTTGATGAATCATCGGAAAAGTTATGATGATGGTATGGATTCTGTAATCATGAACAGTGAACAGTTTAGCATACAACTCGAGACACTAGAATATGCGGGAGAAAGTTAAACGCCATGCATGTCAACTTGAGAAGGAAAGGTTATTACAACAACAGCAGAAGCAAATCACAAGAGAAAATAGCAATGAAAGAAGGCAAATAACTGCAGGAAAGGAATCACTAACTAACTATTCAAAAACTTGATGAACAAATATGATTTCAAAGTGTTTCTCAATTAAAAAAAGAATCGTTACTGCAACATTATTCAAGATGCATATACTTTTTCTCAAATTTATCTAGCGCTTTTAAAGAAAATTCATTAATCTACAGCGCATTAGGCGTGATTTTGGAAAACAATACCATAAAATAATTTTAAAAATAAGTTTAATAACTTGGATCAACTAGAAGTAGTTATCGGAGGCAGTGAAACTTAATCATCTCCGCACCTCAAAACATGTTCTTTCATCTGGATAGCCTTGGAAAATTTAGTACCACAGCCTACACAAATAAACCTTTGATGGTCATTGAACAGATGAGACCTCAAACTCTTCAAAGTTAGGAAATGTTCCACGCAAAATCTACATCTGAACGGGAACCCTGAAGTCGATTTATTATCACAATTTGTACACCCCATTTCTTTGTGTTTCTCGGGCGAACTGACGATCGACTCTGTATCCGAATCTGAATTTAACTCTCGAAGAGCCGACGAGTTGGCTCTTGCCAGTTCCTCCGACCTCAGTTGTCGGTCGTCCGTTTTCTGTCTAGAAGTCATATGTTTAGCATTCGTCGTTTTACTAGTATTTGCATTTCTTTCACCGACAGGTTTAAAACTTTTCGGCAAATGTTGCCCCACTCTATCTAAGCTGACACCTTGTGACGATGCATCGGGTTCAACGCTGCTTTTCCGTACAAATGCTTTCTGACGTCCGCTTACATGTTCTTCAACTCTTTCATCTTCACCAGAAATTGGCTCTCTGTTTTCGGCTTGATTGGGATCGTTGGAAAGATTCGGCTCTGACAAACTCCGAGAAAACAAGTTCTCACATAGTTCAAATCTACTAACTTTAAGAGGCAACTCCTGATTCGAAGCATCACTCGAACATTCATTTTCAGGCTCATCTCTTACAATAGTTTGCCCTGTCCGCGTTTTCGCCTTCAATCCAGATTCGAGTGAACTTTTACCTAACTGATTAACTTCACTGTATGGTCTTTTTGATTTTCTTACATTCGATAGTTTACCGGTTTTAGTTGAATCAGTGCCCAATTTAAGCCGTGCACCAAAACCACCTTGAACTATACTGACACCGGGAAAAAGATCGATGTTTTCTTTGACCTCATTTAAATTCATAATTAGCGAATGGCTTTCACAAATTGGAAACTTGACAATATCTTCGGTCATTGAGCTGACTTTTAGACAAAACTCGCCTTTGAAAGGGTCCACTTTTATTATGTAGAGACAGGTATAATCCGAATTTTTCTTCGCTCCTGATTTCAAATTGCAAGGGATGTATCGCGCCAGTTCAATTGTACACTTATTGTATTTTTTCGTCAACTGGTCTGTAACCAAAACTTGTGGATACATTTTGGGGTTTTTTGGAAACATACTCCAGCTTACAGACGGTTGTAAAACATTTTTTAGAGTCTTTTTTGAATTTGAAACCTTGGATTTAAATGATTTTTGGTTCTTAAACTCATCTGAACTAGCTGAGCTTTTAAACTCGGTTGCGTCATTCGGAAGCGGTGTGCGAAGTTTTTCAGGGTATTTTTTCCTGGCTACTTTCGAGCAGTTCGACTCGGGTACCTTAGGCGGAAACTCGACTGAATTTACCGCGTCTACATCAAACAAACCGCTCACTACTGAGCAAACCTCCGCTTTGACGTTATCGCCCAGATGAAAGGGTTTCAAAATCAGTTCGCCAGATTTCGGAGCAGCTTTCATCGGTCGTACTTTTTCGCAAGCTTTTGATTCAAATCGTGATGACGATTGATTCAAAATTTCATCGGTTGAGATTGAAAATTTCTTTACACCAGACGAAAAAATCTCACCCATGCTTGAATTTGAGTCTTTTTTGACCTCTACTAACTTCGAAATTAATTGTGAGCCTACTCCTGTGCCAACTACCCGATCATTCAGAGTAATGGGACTAGTTTGCGTCGAGATACAGCTATTTTTCAGATTTCTAGGCGATACTCTCTTATTATTTGGCTCCGCAAAATCCGCTGTCACCATAGTAAGATTTCCCGCAAAATTTTTCTTGTTTGCATATACACTTTCTCGACTCACTTTACTTAAACTGTTCGAACCTGAAGTACTTGGAACGTTTTCTTGTCGCGGGTTCTTAGAACTATACTGCGATGCAATTGCAATTTCGGTTGTTTGAATTCGCTGGTCCAAACTTTCATTTTGATTTGTTTGAATTGATAAAGAGCCAGAAACTCCATTTTCAGAGGTTGAGTTAGGCTCTTGTTTAACTTGCACCTTATGTGGATCCGGCAACTCGTCAATAATTACGTCATTTAAAAGCGAAGGAGACAACTCGTCGTCGGGCAGAGATTTTATCTCGTCATTCGATCCACACTCCGACGTTTTCCGAGAAGCTACTGTTTGTAAAGAAGTAATATTAGCGCTGCTTAGACTACTTTTTGTTAAGTCCGAACAAGATGACAATGGACCATTAATTTCATCAACGTTCGCATTATTAAAAGTTTCCGTGGTTCTCACTTCGGCACGGTTTAGATACCTATCGGCTGAACGAACATTTGATTCAGTCACCAACATTTGCTTCGTTTTTGCCGAAGTGCCCGCAGCTTCAAATCCTAAACCTAAACTTGGTTCCACCTTCACAGCTGTGTGTATAAGAGGAGACTCATCTTGCTTACAGTTTGAATCATTTGAACAAAGAGTCTCTTTGTCCGAAGTGTCAAGTGGAACCTGGACTGTTTTTTCACATGAAATACTTATGGATGGATCTTGCGTGATTCCAACAGGGGGTTCTGAAGCCTTTTGATTCATTTCATCTTGAGGTTTTGATATTAATTTTTCAATCTCTGAATTTACTCTATTCAGCTCTGTTTGCAGCCTTGTCACAGTTTCGTCAATGTTTGACGAGTATACACCAACCTTGTCGCTGTCCTTCTTTCCGCTGATATTCTTCGCTGCAACTTCACCGCTCAATCCTGGATCAATTTTATCACCTTCCACGTTTGACCTATTGGCAGATCCTTTGGCGTTGGTCAAACCATCCGTCGAATTTTCAGAAAAAGTCTCCGCGTCAGTTTGCGTGAGAACATTAAAAAAAATGGGACCCATCACTTTATAATTGATCAAAATTTCTTTCTCTAGCCGCTTTTCGAAAATACTTCTCAGTTGTTGCAGCCCTTCTACAATTTCCAATTTACTGACTCGTTCATTATCCCATTTTTGACTCAGAAAACGTATATATGACTCCTCGTTAAATTCATTATTTCCAATTCTGACAACAGGAAAATTTTCGGTCACAATTCCTTTTTCGTCAAAACAATTTCCTCCCGGCACAGTTGAACTACACATAACGGATGCTTTAGCATAGACACGTCTTGTGTTTTTGTCTCTGAAGGTCGTGTTTAATTTGCTGCCAGCCATCAAATTTCTCAAAGAGCCTCTCGCTATGAATTCGCCAATCACACATGTGTTCTTCTGACTAACGCCACTATAAACTGGTGCTTGAACAACTAAAGACATTTTCAGAGGATTTTCGCTTCTCTTTTCTCTTTACATAAACATTAACTGCACTGCTTCAAATGAGATTAGTTCGGTCAGATTTTCATGGGCAGTGAAGGCAGCATACCAAAAGAGTCTAAACATAATGATTGCTCTGCCAGATTCATAATTCAAACCTGAAACAAATACACAAATATAGTTAACAGACCGTTTAAAATGCTAATGAACTCAAGAAATGCGGGAAAAAAAAACTTTGTTGAAAATACAGGACATAAAAGCTTTTTTTTTTTAATTTCGAGAGTCCTTTATAATTAACCTTTTTTGTTTAAATGAACCCAATTTGACGCAAGGATAACCGGTTGCTGTGCAAATGGTCTATAACCTTCCTACCACATTGATTGAAGAAATTATATAGATTTACAGCCTCCATTCAAATTGTCTTTTTATTTTGAAAACCGCAAATACTCAGTTTTTTTCGACACCGAATCAATTTTGTGAAAACTTTCGAATCCAAATCACGGCTGTAAGGCTTTCAAAATGATACTACACTTGACATCCTGCAACCTTTTTTTGCGTAGTCAAGTCTAATGGCAAGATACGACCGGTAGGACTGAAAAACATGAAAAGACCAGTCAAAAAAATTTCTGAAAAATTATGTTGCAAAAAATTACCTGAAAAAATAAGTTGACAAAAATTAAAACATTACAGCGAAACTTCATTCATTTAGACAGCCTTTCGCAAAGGCGACACGTCGGAACTTTGGTTCAAAACCTGCGGAGCCGAAAACAACACTGTGATTATGATAAAATTTCGTAAGATTTAAAACTTTTCACGACCCATCCAAACTTGACCACATAAATCCAAACGGATATAGTTTGCCCTTGAAATTACGCAAAATGAGTTGAATAAGTCGATATAACATAAACAGAAACTATTTGAATATTTAAAAAAAGCGAAAAAATGAAGAAAAAAAAACGCAAACAATTCCATTTTCAGTCAAATCCATTTTCAGCATATTAAACATCAGTCGAAACCATTTGATCAAAAAAAAACTTGAACAAAAAGACTACTTAAATATAAATAACATAACGACTGCCAGTTCCAGTTAAAATTGTTTAAAACAAAAAAGAACTCCATGAGCCGACAAAAACGAGCAGACAATTCAATTTTTTCCCCAAAGAACATTTCATACATACAGAAAAACACAAGTGTAGGTCGGGATTTGAACTCCAGATCTTGAGGGTGCAAAGGCGACTGATTTACCTCTAGACCAAGATAAAAGCTCCTGGAAGTTTTTATAGGTTCAATTACAAAGCAAGTTCAAATTGTTTTAGAAAAGTTGTTTGAGGGAAAAAGTCTAGTTCGCGATTAAAGTCACTTGCTCTCACAGTTGAAGATGCGAAAAACAGCGCAAGGGTAGGTTTTCTTGATGTTTTGGTGAAGCTTGCCGGAACGGTTAACAACTCAGCCGGATTTGGAAAGAACTAATTCGAAAAAGGACTAATTTTTCAAATCCGAAAGGACTAAATTATTCAGACCATTTTTTCTCAACATTGTCTTCTCACTAAAATTTCTGATTTTTAAAATCTCAATTACGACCAATAGGGCTAGAATAGGGCTAGCACATAAATTTAGGTCGAAAAAAAACAAATTTAGGCACCACAGTTCCTAGCCTTCACTTCGTAGCATAGTCACAAGGCATTTTCGTGGGGCAATAACTCTAGCGTGAACAACGACCCTCGATTCTCTTCAAAGATACAAAATAAGACGCAAAGATAAATTAAATATTATTTCAATGCTAAAATAAATCCTTTCTTTACAAATATTTACAGTCAGCAGCTCAATATTTAAAAATAACGCGCATAAAAATGGTAGGATGTACACAGATATACAGATTAGAAGATGCCTAACAGCTACTAACTAAAAGGTTAACTTAAGCAAACACTTGTCCAATTTTTCAACTTAAGATGAAATGAGACTTCCAACTTGAGTCGAATTGAAACAACAGATTAGCAGATCACAACTTGAGGAAATCAGCGTTTTCTAACTTGAGATAAGTTTCAAAGTTTTCTCAACTCTGACTCAAGTTTGAAGCATTATCAGCTATGCTAAATTGATTCACAAAAATGTAGCTTATCTCACATGTAACAATTCTAATCAATCTATAAAATCCTTTCCATGAAATTTGGCGGAAGTTCCATCAAGAACCTTAAAATCTAGGAAACGTTTACCCAAGTCATGAATTGTCACATGTAGATATCTATTAGTTAACGAGTTTCATTTTGACTTGTTTTAGCCTTCATCTGTCACTGGCGTTCGACAAAGCGGACAAGTTGGCGACTTCTGCAGCCAGTGCGTAATACATGGATGATGAAATAAATGTGTACATTCTGGCAACTTAGTGGCTGATTCTTCAAACTCAAAATTAGCAAGACAAATTGAGCAGTTCAGACTCTCATGCACTTGCTGTTTAATTATACTCTCACGTGGCAATTTATCTATAACACCCGTAGTTAAACCTACGGGTGCTTGCGGTTCACTGCTCTGTAGCGAGACCATTAAACTTATATATGTTTCCAGTAGTTGTTCTAAAATTGACCTCTGGTTTAGCAAAATCACTTCAGTCGTGCTCTGCGGCAAATCGAGTCCCAGGAGCTGCATGATTCCAACATGCGCGTTCAGGTGTGGAATCGTATCCGGATTCGGAGTCTCATTCCGAGGACCTCCAGTTCGATTCGTATCATCATTTTCATCGCTATCGTCCGATGAAAATATCGTCGTGTCCTCTGAAGCTCGAAATCTGCTAGTCGCAAATCTGTCGAGATTACTCGTGAAGCGAACTCCGATTCTGTTTCCAATACGGTTTGTAGTGACAAATCTCGGACGAGGCGTAACAGCGCCCATGTCATCGTCAGAATTTTCTGATGCAGGTGGTGACGCAACAGCACTTGCTCGGGCTGTTCTTACAGGTGGGACATTTCGAGGTGTATCACTATCGTCAAAAATCTGGTTCCTCCGACTTGGCGGGCTTCTAAGTAGAGATCTGATGTCTCTTCTCTGAGATCCCTGTGAAGATGGCATGCTTTGAAACTGATCTGAGGAATCTTCCCTATCCATTGAAGCATAACCGCTTGTTGCCATATTAGAATTATCTCTATTATTTCTTGAAGAAGCGAAAGAATTGTCTATTGAGCTTCTGTCTTCCACACTATTTGATATGTTACTCGTTGATCCAACGCCTATAAAACTCCTTCTTGGCGCTATTTCTGAAACAGATTCGTTATTACTGAAGGTTCGCCGTCTTTCATCTTGATTCGAACTTTGAGGGGGGTTGTTTGGGCTTCGAGAATTTAAAACTTGCGCAGTTGATGAGTTTGCAGAAACTTGCGTCGAAGTCCGCCGCTGAGCAAATGGCGATGAAGATGCCGGTGTTTGATAACTCTCTGGTTCCAACCCTGTAATATTTCGAGTCGTATCTGAAACGCGGTTGGCTGAAATTAGCTCTCGTTGAAAACTTCTGTTTGAAGATGCATTCGATTCTGCTTCGTCTCCAGTATGCGAGCTAGTCACTCGGTTTGAACCGAGTATCCGAGAACCTCTTTCGGCTCCTCTCGTAGATTCTCCAACAGAATTTCTATTTATCGATTCATCATTTTGGCGTCTCAATCGTGTCAACACATCATCGACGCTTGGAACATCAAACTCAGAAGTGTCTGTTACGGGTACCGTTGCAACTACTGTTCGGGGCACCAAACTTGAAGCAGTTGCATTGGAATTCGCAGAAGACGGTTCATTTGATTCCGTGGGTCGGTTCGGTACACTTCTATTTGCAGTTCTAGCCTGCGTTGTAAAAGAAACTCTTGGCTCAACTGAAGAAGTCGAAGACGTGTTGGCAAGGTTGCTTCGGTTAGCAGAATTTCTAATTTCGATCCTATCCTGGTTGCCATTCTGTGATGCTCTACTCTGTTCTACTGACGATGTCAGATGTCCGTTGCTTGGTCTCGGATTACTTTCAGGCGGTGGAACATTTGAAGGTTCTCCAGTCCGACTTGAATAAATTTCTGACAAAACTTGTGAAAACTCAGAAGACCCACTAGGCATTGGAAGATCATTTCTTGACGCCGACTCTTCACTCGCATTTAAATTCCCATTCTCGGACGTTCCATTGGCCAAAGATGGTCGTATACTTCCAGATCTTGATGATAATAAATTACTTCTACTAATCGGAAACATACTCGACGACCTCGAGGTACTGCTGCCATTGCTGACACTGTTCCTCAATTGTTGACGGTTCGCAGTGTTCGCCAGGCCATTCGCATTCGACTGCCTCGGAGTGGTTCTGTAATCCCATTCTGTGATTTCTGGAGCGTCGTCGCTGTCCAGGACCATACCGACATCATTGAAGTACTCCTGCGCAGGATTCGTTCGTCGAAGTTGTCTGTCGGATCCGAAGGACGAGACTCCTGAAGATGACGATGAGGATCCATTTGGAGCTCCGATTGATGGAAGCGATAGTCTATTGTTTAGTCGCGGAGTAGTCGTGTTAGATAGAACTGTTTGGTCAGTGCTTTGGTGGTAATTAGATGACCTCCTGGCGTTGTACGGCACCCTTTTAAAACAATAAAGTCATCATAACCTGCCATAAAAAATTTAAACGATATACCAAAAAAGAAGGAACCATTAAGATATGTAAATGTAAGCGAATTTTTTTTTCTGTACAATAACTCATGCCCTCTCAACGTGTGAACTTTGACGAATTTTTTTTAAATCATAACACGGAAAAAACACTGTTATTGCGCCTAACCAGATTTGAATAGGGTGTAAACTATGACCAAAAGTTTCCATATCTTTTTTGAGCTGAAAGAAATCTTAGGTATTCAAACGTTTAATTTCTCAACATTTCAATTCTTACAAGCCATTCCTTATTTCAGGTAATGCATGATCTTGTTTTTTCTGTCTTGATAATGAAATTTTCGAAGCGTTCTCAATTCAAGTTTAAAAGACCATATATCGACATAAATCGAAGTATATTTTTGATTTTCAGCTATTAAGACCAACAGATAAAACACGCTCACCTATTAGTCAGTCCCAGATTCTGTACAGGAGCATGTACATTCAAACTCTGTCTCGTCTGCAGTGGCGTTGTCGTGTTATTGTTGTTGTTGTTTAATCCCCCATTGTTGTTGACTGAGGATGAAGACTGCTGTCGCCTGGCTAGCAGCCGTCTGGAACTCTTCGTCTGGGCGACAGTAGGAGGGGGTTTTCGGGGGTTGAGGCCACCACTTGACGACATCACATTTTAAATCTTAAAACCAACCGATAAATTTAGTCTAGTTCAACAGGAGTAATTTAATGTCAATAAAAAGAAAATTGAACTGAATGTTTTTTCACGTTTTTTCAAAAATCGAAAAAAAAACGAAATAAAAAAATTTACGGCCGAATAAACAGTGTTCAGACTGAAACAGAATCAGCATCAAAGGCTGTGTCACTAACAAACTACCTGTGAAGCAGTTTATATGGAGTTAGTAAAAAATTCTCACAAGCGCCCAAATAATACCCTGAAATCAATGATATCATGTGAAATCTAGGTAAACGTCTATAGTGTTAAGTTCAATTATAAACTGTTAAATCTCTGCAAAGCCATATGACAAAAAAGTAGAAGAAATTCAAAATTTGGCTTCAATATGCTCTACTGAAGCTAAACAGTCTGCACGATGAATGCAAGTAATGGTTCACAAATCAGCAACGCACACCGCAAGGCATCAAATTCTTCAGAATTATTTTTAACCAATTCGATACATGAAGTATACGCCATTATAAACGACAAAAAATTAATTTGTCTTGATCGGTCAGACAAGCAATTTCAAGAATACAAAATAACTTTGCAAACTGACTTCAAAAAGTAGCGAACAGAAAGTGGATTTATTGCATGACTTCAAAATGCAGTCATGCAATGTACATGAAAGAAACAGTATTATCCTATTACAAAGCATTTCTTTCTGAAACAGTATTCAAGAAACACAATAAAAAATTAATCATTTATTGCAGAAAAATTAAGAAATCTAACAAAAACGCAAAAAGCATCTTGCAAAATTTGAAGAAAAAAAACGACAACAATGAAGTAAATTGTTGAGTATTGAAAATTCATTAAGCAAATTATACCAGCAACAAGTTCAGCCTGATTCCAACTGAAGTCTGCACCCTGACTGTAATGCAGTTGAACGCTCAGAAGACGAGCAAAAAACCATTTGAAAAATGAACTGAATAAAAAACGCTAAACCAACTGTTTCTCAGTAATCATTTACTCAGATGCGAAGCTGAGCTTCGCACTTTTAGGGACACAAAACAAAAAAGCCGCCAAATTGGAAAAATTAAAAATGTCGAAAAAAATAGATCTATCAAAATGAAAAAGGTTTGGAACAAAAATCAGCCAAGACAATAGAATGTGAAATTAGCGCCGAGAGAAAACTTACCAAGCGGTAACAAAGATTCAGAAAAAAAAACAGAAACCATCATTTTAAATTGTAGAAAATATTGTTTAAGTGTGTAAACAGTGGACAACTAGAGGCAAAATAAATGTTATGGAAAATTAGCAAAAAAACAAAAGACGGCTTCATAATAGGAGAATAATTTCGCATTGATAGCACTTAACGCAAGCCTAACCCCAATCTACAAACTGAAGTTGTTCTCCGCCGTAAACAACAAAAGCTAGAAAACAGCGGCATCAAGATCAAGAAAATTAATAAATTGACGGAAAAAATGGCGGAAAAACTCACGAAATAAATTACTGCAACAAAAATTATGACAAATACAGCCAGGCATTAAATACCTAGCCAGATAAACGTTTTGACCAAAATAACCTTTATGAAACAAACACAAATGAAAACAAGGATGAAAACAAGCCGGTTACTGTGCAAGTAGCACAAAATGCTCCGACCATAGAAAGTTTTTTTAAATTAGTGTCTTTTTCTGCGTTGTGTAATAAAAAGATCTGAATAAAAAAACAGAATTTAGGCAAGATCGAAAGTCAAAGTAAAAAAAGACCAATGGAAAACAATTTCAGTAGAAAATTGACTTAAAAAGAAAAAAAAACATCAGAAAACTTTTAAAAAATTGCTGAACCCTAAAATTTAAATTTGCGCTAAGAAACTAAAAACAAAATGAAAAAAATAATAACTAACTTTAATCGAGTAAAACTAAGTTTTCACGGCTTAATTTAGGCTTAAATAAGCTGTTGTAAGCCTGCATGCTCACCGAAAATCGAAAACTTCAAACCGGTGTTTCTCGACACAGACAATTATTTCAAAAGTTCTTATGTTGCTCGAATCACGACTAGAAGGGCTTGAATATGATATTAATTGCGACCCATTTCGATCATTATTTGGGGTACCTGACTTTGCTAGGAAAACAAAATGAAAAGAGAAAAATGTAAACACACCCGAAGTTTAAGTTCCTCCACATTTTTCAAATGGTCAGAACAATAAATGTGGGTGCTTAATTGGGGATAATTTTGTTAAGATTGCAAAACTTAAGCGTTGAATTAAAAATCTGTAATTCTGACCTCAGATAATCGACTTTATCGATATGATATCAAGAAGAGCCTGCAAGAGTTATCGAAACTAGTGCGTCGATAGAAAACCAAATATCGAATTTTTAAAATGGCCGAAACAAGAACTACAGCCAAAAATTGAAAGCTTTTAACGTTTGTTTTCATTTTTCAAAAAGAGGGTCTGTGAGGTCAATTTCAAAAAAAATCTGAAAATTTGTTCTTAGTGTATGATCGACCTTAGTTAATTCGGCCGGAAATTGGAAGAAAAAATCTAGACCTGTTTTAGATAGACCTTTTCATATGCCGTGGGTATCCATTGGCGGCTCGTGGATAGCCACACAGTCGCCGCCATCGATCACAGCAGCCATGTTCTTCCAACTAGGGGCTGCTGCAGGCCTATATACTCAAAATTACCACCTATTGTATTATATCACCCAATTCAATTCAATATTGTTCCAACCTTTTTTAGACTTGTTTTAGAGTCTGTCAAAAAACTTGGCACTGCTTTGCTGTATCTCTGTAACGCGTAAATAAGATTTATCGCGGTCATTTCGGGTAGCTGGCAGATTGAAAACATTTCCTTTCATACGCAAATTTACCATAATTATCGGAAATTGCAAGTCAACAAAGAAAAACGAACTGCCTTAAGTTTCGGTATTTAAAAGCAGAGTTCAATGTCATAAATTACGCAAAATGAAAACATGGGTTAAAAAAAATTTAAAACAGCCCCTCAAAAACTAGTGACCTTTGTGTCGGTATTTCAGTTTTCGACTTTTCTCACACACTTTTCTTCGTTCACCAGAAACTTCATTTGTTACGACCTTGGTTTTTTTCTCGCTTTGAATTCTAGCGAGAACATCCCCCCAACAGAGCGAGAAGAGGTGAGAGCTCCAAGGTCAGTCGCGTCATCTCTCACATCCAGGAACTGCTCCTCTCCGGGTCGGCTGACCATACTTCTGCCTCGTTTCGGTTCTGACGTAGATCGGTTTCAGGTAGCTGGCTGATTGACAGCAGTTCATTTCATTAATAGAGTTTCAATATCGTAGATTGAGATGCAGACGGTTTATCCTCCTCCTTCACTCTTGTCGATTCCTCCTTTTTATATGGCGCCAGTAGTTCAGGACAGTCCAGGGTCTCAGCTGGCGGGAGATAGAGGACGAGGGCTCTTCGCGAGGAGGAGTCAATAGGCTGGCGAGTTCGTGCGTGCCAACTGGGGAAAGCCGTTGCTGAAAAAGGAATACGAAAAAATGAGATCAGCGGGGAGCAATTCGTATTGTTTCATTGATGGCCATCACCTGTTTGTTGATGCAAGTGACCCACTCAACAGTGGGAAGGCTAGTAATATGAACGAAAACGACGTGGATCCGAATGTAATTGTGAAGCGGATCATTCACAATGTCATCAGCCGTATTGCCTTTAAAACCACGAGAGATGTGCCAAAAGGTCAGGAGCTCTGCAACGATAACGGGGACACGTTAGTGTCATGGAGAGTGGCGCAATTTCCTGGCATAGAGATGCCAACGTCATTGCCATCGCCTGCACCATTGCCATTGCCGCTAGTGTCGCGACCCGGATAGTCAGAAGCGGAGGCACAAGCGGAGGGTCTTGCTATCAATGAAAAGGATTCAGAAGCATAAGAATCCGGCCAGTGTCATAATCCGAATTGCAGCTGGATCGCAGCGCGATCCGAAATGCAGCTGGATCGCAGCACGCTTGAAGCAGAAGCGGATGTCCAACCATCAGAAGACCGGGCAATGTGGCAATCCGAACTGCAGCTGGATCACAGCCCGATCCGAATTGCAGCTGGATCACAGCCCGCTCGAAGCAGAAGCGGAGGTCCAAGCATCAGAAGACCGGCCAGTGTCGCTATCCAAATTGTCAGCAGCGGAGGGTCTTGCCATCAGTGAAACAGAATTGGAAGCATCAGAAGACCGGCCAGAACTAGTTTTGGATGAGTTTCGTCTCCACAAGGAGGGAGCTCCCAAGTTTATTTTTCCACGGCAAGAAAAACTACCGAGGTCCTTCTGTTTCAGGAACATCTACACACTCAGGTGGAGCCACAAGAGGAGCCAGACAGACAGGAGGAACCAGACAGACAGGAGGAGCCGAGAAGCCCAGATGAGGGCATGATGGAGGGACAGGAGGAGCCGATACTCCCAGATGGAGGACAGCATGAAGTAACAAGGGGGGCAGAGTAGCCCAGATGGAGGACGAGGGCTCTTCGCTAGGAGGAATCTGAAATCCGCGGAGTTCATGTGTGTCTACCGGGGAAGTCGTTGCTGAAAAACGATTATGAAAAAATGAGATCAGCAGGGAACAATCTGTACTTTTTCACTGATGGCCATAACCTGTTTGTTGATGCAAGTGACCCACTCAATAGTAGAAAGGCTCGTTATATGAAAGACAACGACGTGGATCCGAATGTAGTTGTGAAGCGGATCATTTACAATGCCATCAGCCGTATTTCCTTCAAAACCATCAGAGATGTGACAAAAGACCAGGAGCTCTGCTACGATTACGGGGACACGTTAGTGACATGGAGAGTGGCGCAATTTCCTGGCATCGAGATGCCAACGCCATTGCCATCGCCTCCGGCGCTAGTGTCGCGACGCCGATAGCGAGAAGCGAAGGGTCTTGCCATCAGTGAAAAGAACTCTGAAGCATAAGAATCCGGCCAGTGTCGCAATCCGAATTGCAGCTGGATCGCAGCCCGCTTGAAGCAGAAGCGGAGGTCCAAGCATCAGAAGACCGG